AGTCTTCTGCCTCAGCCTCCCAAGTAGCTGGGACCACAGGTGCCTGTTACAACACCCAACTATTTCTTGGTTGCAGCCATCATTGTTGTTTGGTGGGCCGGGGCTGGATTCGAACCCACCACCTTAGGTGTATGTGGCTGGCGCCTTAGCCACTTAGCCGCAGGCGCCAAGCCATTGTTTCTATTTTTGAAAGTATTCATAGAATTTTAAATCAAAGTGCCTCAGTTGTATTTATTTTTATTATTTCTGACTTTTTTTAGGGTATCTTCTTAGTCAGTGGTGAAATCAGTATTATTCATTCCAATTACATAATCTTGTATTATTTTTGAATTGATGAACGTAAACCATTTTTAAATTTCCTGTTATTTCTCCTTCCTCTGTTGTGTGCCTCCCAATTTTGACCTAATAATTGCTACATCATTTTGCATAGGACCTATGTTTTCAGTCCTCTTCTCTATGTAAATAAGGCCGCCACTGACTCACTTGGATGATACCAAAGTCACGCTTTTTACAATTCTCATCTTCATTGTCTGTTTAGTCATAACCCTTTCCCTGTGTTCTCCAGATGACTACCTTTTGTTTTTGTTCATGACAACTGTTTCAGTGTGTAGGTTCTTGGAGCAGGACAGAGAAACTGAACCAACTCACCGTGAGAGATGAAAGTACTTCTAAGCCCAAGACACTGGGATCATCGGTTCTCATGGAAGTAGGTAGGTATTTTCCTCTATTTTATCCAAGGTGCACTGTCAAAGTCAGTCTGGGCCTTTTATCTCTCTTTTTAATCCTTTCATTCCAATTGCTGGACATGTTTCTATATAGGAGATTTTAAAACACTGCTATTTGTTCCCCAAGCACCCTCTAATTAGGTATTTAGTTCCTATTATAAGCATGTTTGCTGTCATTTAATTAACAGCAATAACAGGACAATTCCCTTTCATTTTCAAAAGACATCACTGATATAAAACTCCCTGATCAGTTGTTTGATTATGGCTACCAAGTTCTTCTCTCCCTGCAAAATGTGCTTGCTTTATTCTGCTCTTTTTAGTCTCTAAGAAATTTTCCCATTTTTTCTGCTATTTTCACTTCCCTCTGTCAAATTAGCTCACAGTGTTGAAACGTCCTCCGTGAACACATATTTGTACTTCCTCATCCCCATCTTCCTGTGGGGACCCTGGCTTCTCTATTCTAACTTGACATCTACTGAGTCTATAAGGGACTGGATCCACTATGTGGTTTTCAAACTGAATAACCCATTGTTGGGACGGAATGTGTAAAAAGGTTAGAATGAATAAATCTTGTTTTATAGCTCCCCAAATGTGCTCTAAACCACCGTCCCCCTGCTGCTGCCGCCTTCACAGAATTCCATGTCTATGCCCCTCTCATCTTTCCAATTCTATCTTTATTGGTAATTTGGCAAATTCACAAGACCTTCACCAAGAAGAAACAAACAGAGAATAACATTATCATGGTGGCTAAATAAGGAAAGCTTATGTTGGAAAGCTGATGTTGGTATTTAGGAATAAAAAATTAAGAGTTTAACTCCTACTGCTCCCTCTTTTTTTTTCTTTCTTTTAAATGCAGCAGGAATCAAAGATACTTGGGCACTCACATGCCATCCACTTGCCCTTCTATTGATCTCTGAAGAATTTTTTTTTTTTGGAGGGAGAAAGGGGTAATATTAAATTCAGGGAAAGTTCATTAATAATGTATATCATCCAATTGCTAACAAGTATACTTAGGCTGGGTTAAAAATTATTTTTTAAATTTAAAACTAACATGTCTTCTAATTTGATCCAGATTTTGTCATTGATGGTCAATGTGAAGAGAACGTGAAAATGTCTAACTTCAAACAGAAAAAAGAAGCAACTGGGATGAAAAGCTATAAACAATAGGTAAGGGAACACAAACATTGACATTTTAACACAGACCAAACAGACAAGAAGGGACTTGCTGGCCAAAGACATCTCATATTTTGTTTTGCTCTTCTGTTTTTAAAGTATCAGGAAGTTGGGCAAAATATCAACTTTCTTATATACTCCACGGACTTCCCAATACCATTCTTGTCTAGTCTGTTCACAGTTCAAACTGGCATTTTAAACCAATTCTAATTAGGCTGAGATTACAGTTACAATTCATTTACTTCAAATCCCTTAATCTTTCAGTGTTTCAAAGAAGGCTCTGGAGTGGAACATACAATTCAGCCGAGATGACATTTAATGCATAGCTAGCTTGCTCTTGCCACCAGAAATGTTACTTATTTCTTTTTTATAAAATGAATATTACCATCAGCATCCAAGGCCTCTGAACTTCCCTGCTGAAGGCATGTTTATGTCTTTGGATCTGGTGTACCTGGGCCTAAACCAACTGTAATATTAGAGTGTTACAAAATATATCTTAAGTCACCCAAACAGCTCTTTAGATTGCTTATGTAAACACAACATAAGATGGAGCAAATTTAAGATTTTCTCAGTAGTAAAAATATATATTTTTCCTACAATAAAGTAAAAGTGTTCATGGGAGGAAGGGGTGTTAAGAGAGAATGGATTGGGGTTCAAGATAAGCAATGAGGATGGTTTTAATCTATGTTAAGGAAAATTCCTAATTTCCAATCTCCCCTTAGTTCAGAAGATTTACACATAGAATTTCAGAAGACTCCTAAAGAAGCATTCCCAGCTCTCTTCATCAGTATTATCTGACTTTGTCACCAGTGCACACTTTCTCCTCTTTGTCATACGGAGTACCAGACCTCTTTACTGATTAACTTCCTAAAGAGACTGAGGCTTATTTAAAATCCAATGTTAAAATAATAATTTCTGAAGAAATTGCTTGGGAGGTGGTTGAGTGGTGGATAAATAGGGAGCTATGGACGCAGTGAATCAATCTGTGAGGCAGGCGAGGTCTGAAGTTTAGCTTGCTTTATCCCTAAATTCTGCATTTGCTAGTTCACTGAAAAATCTGTCTCCTCTTTCTCGGTGAGCAGGTCTCCTTAAGGAAAAGGCCTCTCCTTATGAGGACTGGGGTGGTGACAGATATTAATCAAGTGGTCTGATTTCCCCCAGATGTTCTCAAGAGTCTCACTTGAACTTTCTTCAAGAAATCTACACCTTGATTTTAGTAGCCTACAGAGTAACACACAGTAAAAAGAATGACTTGTTTTTTAAAAAAAGTGAATTGTCAAAAGTCATTTTAAAAAGGAAACTATGGTTGTTATGATTTCTGCTAAAAAGAATTCTTTGATGGCTCATAAAAGCAATTTGTATGATTTTTTTTCATTCTTTTAAAAGAAAATAAATATTGTACTTGGTGGCTGGAGACTTTGCATTGCTCAAACCCCTCAAGATTCTTTCTTAATCATTTAGAGTTTGATCTATTTGGGTGTCGGTTCCCTGGCAGAGGAGGGAGTTCAGAAGACACCCTGATTTCCTCCCAAAGGGAACCAGGAATCTCTTAGTTCCCTGGTTTAGTTAGTTCCCTGGGAGGGCAAACCACTCCCTGGTTTGAGTGGCCCTTTGGATGACTGTCAGACTGTCTGCTTTCTGCTCTGATCTGAAAGTGACCCCAGGGCCCCACCCTGTCAGGTCCCCTCTCAAGAGGGTGAGCCAAAGAAGTCAAGGCTGCCTCTGTTTATGGAGAGGGTTAGAATGATTTAAAATTGAAATGGGCTCCCAAAGCAAACCCAAATAAATGAAAGAAGGGGAGGAAAAGACTCAAATGGCCGGTCTCCTTCTCATTCCCACCCCCACCAAAAAATAAAACAAAACACAATGCCACTTTCAGAAAACGGAGTGGAATAGGAGGCAATTCTATAGACCACAGCCAATTGCAAATTTTGTTTTGTTATAGAAATCAAAATTTAAAAGTTTGGGAAATGTAGGAAGCTTAAAGAATTCTGACAATACTTTTTTTTTTAAAGTGAACATTATTCATTGTAATTAGATCAAGACCCAGTTCCAGCCTAGGCCTGGAACTATAAAAAGCTTATATTAATCTCCTCTTAAAGGGGACTATTATTTATCCATATATGTTTTTAAAGAGTACCTAGTCTTTACAGACTGAATCATCTGCCTTCCTTAGCCCTTTAAATGAACAGGCAATGACCTGCACCGATTGTGCTAAAAAGTTGCACTTTCTAAAACCCACCAAAGACAGACAAGCAGAATCTCTACCGCAGAAATTAAATTCCTAGTGACTGCTGCCAGAGTAGAAGGGTGGTTGTTTAAAAACGCCCGGGGTTATTTTTATATTCCGATTGAAGGCCAAGGTTTTTAAAGGCTGCTAGAGGCAGATCAGGGGTGAATGGGGAATAGAGACCTCTGGAACCGCTCTGCTCCAGTCGCCCGCTATACGCTGCCCCTCCTGCCGCAGGAAAGCGGGCGGGTGGACCTGCTGCTCTCAGAAGACTTCCTGGTCACCTTTCGCTGCCCAAGGCTTAATTTAGGTGAGCCAGTGATAACGCTCATGAGGGTTCCAGGGAAAGAAAGAAGACAGGATTCACTACTTGTGGCTTCTGGCAGGAGCAGTCTGGAAGCTCAGGAAAGTCTGCAGAAAACTTTTGCAAACTTAACTACGCACCAGCTATGGACTTTGGACATGCAAATTCCTATAGGGCATTTAAAGAAAGGGTAAAAAAATTTTTTTCTTGCCGGCTTCCTTTGTTAGTTTATTTTCATTGACCTCAAGGTATAAAAGTATCTCTATTTTTTTTCCCCGATGCTTTCCACTGAAAGAGGTAAAATAGTTTGGGTGATAATCCAGAGGTGAGGCAGCGGTATAGAAGCAGATGGCCGTGCCCCTGCTAAGGCCCATGCCAGAGAGGTCCCAGCTGGCTCTCAGTGGATGTCTTTGGGGACATACGGATTTGTTCAGCCCTCCCGGGAGACTGACTGCCCGGGAGGACTGAAGTGGGTCCCTCGGAGGGTCTCCACGGCAACACATCATTCACTACCCACCTCACCCCCAGCGCACCAGGTGGATGAGGGGCTGCGGGGGGCATCGCCGGCCCCGCCCGCCCAGCCCATGACCTCCGGGTCGCCCTGGCCTCCGCCAGTCCCACCGCCCCCTCCGGGCCAGTACCTTGAAAGCTATGGGCAGGGTCTTGTTGCAGCGCCAGTGCGTAGGCAGCACGGAGCAGAGGAAGTTGGGGCTGTCGGTGCGCACCAGCTCGCCGGGGTGGTCGGCCAGCACCTCCACCATGCTGCGGTCGCCGCTCCTCAGCTTGCCGGCCAGGGCGGCGCCGGGGTCCGGGGCGCCCAGCGGCAGCGCCTCGCTCATCTTGCCAGGGCTCAGCGCGGTGGACGGCGGCGTGAAGCGGCGGCTCGTGCTGGCATCTACGGGGATACGCATCACAACAAGCCGATTGAGTTAGGGCCTTGCAAACAGCTCCTACCAGACGGCGTGAGGGGCACGGATCTTCAGCAAGCAGCTCCCCGGAGACCAACATACAAGTTCAGGGGCCTTTATTACCGCGGGGATGCTGCACGGTGTGTGGGGGACAGCAAGTTACTAACAGTCCTGGAGGGGGAAAGTTCTAGTTGTACCGGCCGGCCTCAGACCCAGGCAGGGCTCCTAGCAACCGGCCGCTTAGTGCATCAAAAAGTGGATGACCAGGATCCAAAGTCAAGTGCCAAAGGCGCAGTTTTACTTTCAGAGTTTAAGTCCAGTCTTTGGCTGTCACAAAAGTTCCTGGAGGCAAAATTCCCATACACTTCCTAAAATATTTATTCGGAGAGCGAAACGACCAGCAAATACATGATTAGGAAGTTCCAGTAGTTAATCGCCTGTCAGTTTTTTGTTTTTTTTTTTTTTTGGTGAGTTTTGTCTAAAGTCCCAACAAAACACAAAACACAGGAGTATCTTCCATAAACAAAGTCACTTTTATCATGCAAAACTGGCTTTGCTCCTCCTCAAAACCAAAAGCTGTGACTTCCAAAGGTCGTGCTACTAATGTATGTGCACGTATATATAAATATATACATATGCTCTACTTCATAAAATATTTACAATACAATCTGTAGAGAAGTTAAACACAACAGAAATCCATTAATGTTCGCTGCAGAATTTTTTTTTTTCTAAGTAGCCTTGAAAATCAGCTTCAGTAGCTGGAGCAGGGCTGGGGTAGAAGTAGTTGTCATGTTCTCTGTCAAAATGTTCAGTACAGAAGAAAACTCAGCTTTTCAAAGATTTCTAGCTAAACTTGAAAAAAAAAAAAGTCCAAGTTGATGATGCTCAGGGTACAGCTCTCCACATCTGCGAGCTCGGGTTTGGGGATGTCGGTTAGGTTTGTGGCTGATCCTGTGGTTTGGTGGGAGTTGAGCGGCATCCAGTCACACACACGCAAACACGCACTCTTCTTCGGAAGCCAGCCACCATCTACCTCGGCTGGTGAGTCAGCCCCGGCTCAGGCGGCAGCCAGACGATCTTCCTCCAACGTCGCCACAGCGCCCGCGGGTTAGTTGCTCCCACAAACACCCACGAGTACCGCGTAACCGCAGCAGGTGGAGCGGGTCTGTTGGGGAGGCTCCGCGGCGCAGATCGAAACAGACCAGGCGGCTCGGATTACACACGCACGCACACACTGCCACGCACACGCAACTTCACGGCTTGCCTCGAACCACAACGTACTTTCTCCCGCAGTTGTAAAAGGAAACAATCGGGAAAAGTTTACAGCCAGGGAAGAAGTTGAAACATCCAGCCAAGAAGCCAGTTAATTCAAAAGTAAGAAAGAGGAAAAAAAAAAAAAAAAGAAAAGAAAAAGGACAGTCCAACGCAGATCAAGGAGAAGCAGCAAAGGTTGACTTTCTTCTAGCGTTTCCAGGAGCCCCAGGAAGAGGAGCCTGCCGGCGCACGGCCGGGCAGCGTGGTGCCCTGGCTGGGTCCGGCCGCGGGGCGCCCGTCCCGCCCGCGCCCGCTGGCTCTATGAATGAGAGTGCCTGGAAATGAACGTGCTTTTACTGTAAACCCGGCCCGAGGAATTCCATTCCCTCAGCTCGTTTGCATAGGGGCGGCCACCGGCCAATCACAAGCCTTTCCGGTATCATCCAGGGCGCGGCTCGCGGCCGCCCGCTGTTGGAATAGGCCAGCGCGCCCCCGCCGCCGCGGGCTACTGTATACAGCCCTGGCCCGGAGTCTACCGCGGCTGCGGCCACCCCCGCGCTGCCCGCGTTCCCGCACCCACATGGGGCCACGCGCACACACGCACACGCTTGCTCCAGGCCCCACCCGGGTGCGCGCCCGGTCCTGCCGCTACCCTCAGGGTTGCGTCGCTACCCGCCCCGGGGCTTTGGTGTGCAGCGGCTCCACAGGCGGCCACGGTCTGGAGACCGAGGAGGAGGAGAAGGAGGTCTGGCTGGCCTGGGAGGACCTGGCCCACGCGCCACGCCAGGAGAGGCCGGCCCCGGAGATCAACTGGAGGGAGGCGCCCCGCGTGCCCTGGAGAGGCAGCGGGCACCGTGGGACTCTTTGGATCCGGGCTGGAGCCCCCAAGAGCCCTCGGGCCCTGCGCGCCAGGCCTTGGCTTCCAGGGCAGGGGTGGGATTCGGCCGAGAGGGGGCCAGAGAGAGGCTCTGAGCGCCCACATCCCGCTTGGCAGTTGCAAGAAGTAGGACCGATGCCTTTAGTAGGGCCACATGGGGCTGCACAACATTTGTGTGTGTGTGTGTGTGTGTGCGTGCGTTTAGCATTGTCTCTTGGTTTGTTTTCTTTAATTGGTGTTTTTCGCCGCGTCTGGGCTGCGGCTTGACTGCAGCGCACCTCTTTAGCTGAGTGTGCTCAGCGGTCCGCAAATGAGTTCCCTAGTAAGGAAAGACCCCAAAGAACAAGAGACTGGAGGGAAGTTGAAAGCATCGCATCGGCTTGCTCTGGCTCTTCAGAGCGTCGGCTCCTGCCCTGGGGCCTCTCCCGCCACTGGGCCACCCGCGCACGCCCAGCCCCGCAGCCACCCCCGCTCCCCGGAAGCGGCCCCGGCTGCTCTTCCTGCCCCAGCGCGCGCCAGCGGCCCCGGGTGCTGAACCCACCCCGGCTTTGCGCGCGGGCGGCAACTTCCCCCTGCGCCCGTCCGCGCGGCGCCTGGGGCATTTTCGCAGAGCTCGGAGGGCCCCACCCGGGCCCAGGACTCGCTGCCCTATCCCGACCCCACCCAGAGGGCTCCGTGGCTCTCCGTCGAGCCTGCGTGCTCCCCCGCGACTCTTCATCAAGGTGGCCTCTCACTCATGCCCTCCCCCCCACCGGGGCCTCTTCTCTGCCCGCCGCCACTTCTTCGCTTGCCCCACAGTCCCCGAGCTTCGGATCTCCCGCGCTGGGGGCCCTCCCCCGGCCCTGCGGGCCCCCTCACGGGCGCACGGCTGGGGTTTAGGGGCCGCCGCGCCGCGTCTCGTCCTCGGGTGTCGCCGCTGGGTCCTGGTGGGGGAGAGGCCTTTCCCGGACGCCAGAGCCGCGTCCCTCGCCCCAGGCCCGCCGAGGCCGGCGGGCGGACTGCGTTGAGTGACGGAGGGACGCTGCGGACATCGGCTCGGGGCAGACACCAGGGGGCAGCAGCCGCCCTCGCTGGACGCCCCGGGCACCCGGCGGCCGCGCTGTGCTCCCAGAACTCACCCGACGGCGAGGGGCTCTGCGGGTCTGCCTGGGGGACCAAGGAGTAGTTGGGGAAAGCATCTGAGTTCCCCGTTAAGGAACGGTCACCAGAGCCAACTTTAGTCGCAACTTTGGGCCCTCGAGGCCTGGAGCTGGCGGCGCGGCCCACCTAGTTGGAACCTCTAAGTCAGGGGTCCAGGCTCTCTAGTATGGCTCGAGTCGGAGTTTCCTCCCCAAGGCCGTCTGCCCACCCAGGGCTGTGGCTTTTCCATGTGTCTGGGAACCGGGAGTAAAGGCTCGCCCTGGCCGGGCCATTGCCTCGGCTCCCTCCAGCCTTGCGGAGGTGGGCCGGTCCCCTAGCTCCTTTCGCGTCTGAGGGACAGGCCGCCAACCAACTGCAGTTTATTTCTTTAAAAGTGTCCGAGGTCTTAGGAAGAAGACTTCTCTGTTTTTCTTTCTAAATAATTTTAAAAGGAGCCCCCATTTCAGATGTGGCAGTCCCAAACGTCCGCTCTCTAACTCTCCACCTTGGCTGAGTGATGCCAAAAATCGCATTGCGTTCGCGGGCCGCTGCTGCTCCTCTGCCGAGGCCACCGAGTCTGCGTCCCGATTTGGACTCTGTCCGCTTAGGGGCGAGGTCCAGACAAGGGAAACACTTCGGCTTGGGCTCCAGCGCATTTCCTTTGAGGCCCACCCAGGAAGAGTCCTAGGGCCACGGCCAAGTGCATCCCCAGGGAACTCAAGGGATGGAGACGGAGTGCGAAAGTGGTAGGGGCAAAAGTGGGCTTTGGCTCCAGGGGAAATAGCTGATTCGCGACACCTTCCCTTCTGAAAGGCCAGAAGAGGCTCTTCTGAGGCTCTGGCCACTCGCCTAAAATCCTGAATCCTGCTCTGGGCTACTAGTCAGGCCCTCCTGCTGTCGTCCCCCGGGAGGGAGTCAAGTTCCCTTTTCTAGAAGGAAAGTTTGTCGCAGCAATACAGCGTCGTGGGCGCTGCTCAGCTAAGAGTTTGAACCGATAAATCTGGAGTTTAAGCCCGGACAATAATAATAGCAACGAAAGCTCTTGCTCCTTTTCTGTATTTCGGACCACCAGGCGTTTGGGTTTCCCCAGATCGGTGCGGGTTATAATTGTGTTGCGCGGGGCGCTCCAGAAAACTAGTAACAGACAGAAAAACTGCCCCCTCCTTATGAAGGAACTACAATGAATGGCAAGAGGCAGGCGGGGCTCGGCTTCCAGGCACAGGCAACCCCTTAGTCTGAAAGGGCTTTTTAGGAGCTATGACACCCTCTCTACGAAAGGAGGAATTCCTTTCCACCAAGAGCGCCCATTTTAGCGACAATATACATTTTCCCTTCCTCTGTCTCTATCTAAGAGAGAAAGGAAAGGAAATATTATCAGGCTCACTCTCAGGGTTTCCTTGGAATAATAATAAAATTTACTTTTGTCACAAGACAAAATAAAAAATAACAACGACGACGAGGTGTGTTGGGCGGATGCCACGTGACAGATTCTTCCCAATTTGTTGGGAGTGAAAATTGGAGGGATTTGAAAAAGGGGGTAAGAATGAAATGTAAATTTCCACAGTGAATTTTAAAAGTCGTATTTGGTTAGTTGGAAGAAAAATGAGAAATTCACTGGAAAACAATAACAGTTCATTAATGTTTTTCTTCTATTAACTTTAGGCAAATATTTATACATGGTGTCAGAAAAGAAATACTTCACATTTTTTTGCTTTTTCAAAACCCCCTTGAAAATAAAATAAACATACAGATGGGATTAGAATCTCAGCAGTTCTCTCAAATCAAAATTACCTTTTGTGAGTAAAGTAGTATTTCTAAAATTATATTTCTAAAAATGCAATATTTCTAAAAGAATTATTTCTATTTTAAATGACCATTTAAATTAAAAAAAAAACAAAGAAGGTATCTTGCTGTGGTTCTGGACCAAACTGCAGTTGGTAGTGATGTCATAGGACTAGAGGATAATTTAGAAGAAGAGTAACACGTGTGTTCAGTCTGCTGTACACACTGTCCAGTTTGGAACATTGGAATTTAATTAAACATTTTTTGTTCCTCTGAAGTGGCTTTGAGATTATATTGCTTTTGAAATCTAATTACTATGGGGATGAGAGTCCACTACATCCTCTTTCCATGTGACTGTTTCCCTGAGATGCTGTGGTTAATGCATGATTATTTCACTTTAATTTTATAAATCAATTGTTCACCTCACAAGTAGAAAACTGAGAAAATGTTAACATTAATCTTTAAAATTTAGGGATGCTTAGTAAACATTTTACCCTCAAAGTTTTTGCCTTACCACTGCTATTACAAAACTAATAAACTGGGTTGTAACAGAAAGAAGCCAAGCTAGATTTCTTTTTCTTTCTTTCTTTCTTTTTATTTTCGAGAGTTGTAACGAGTCATGTAATAACAGCAGAATGCACGGGTGGTAAATATTGTAGCACTGAAGGTATCATTTAAGGTTTCATTGGGACATTTTATATGGTACAGTATTTACAACATGGAGAACTACTTTTACATATATTTGATTCAGCAAAAAAGAGATAATTATTTGTTTAAATTATACCATAAGTTACAGAGAGAGATGCATAGATATAAAACTATATATATGCATATATGAAGCCACATACTTTATAAAGAATATAATTTGAAATCTAACATACCGTGAACGTCTCTAGAAGGGTTCATTCCAAGTACATATTCTGAAATAATAGAAAGTAGGAAAAGAAGAATGATTGTCTGAATATACTGACAACAAACACCAAATTTACTGATAGTTAATGAATTTTCATTCTAATTGCAAAAAATGCAAATGTCCCTCAATATTTTTTTTTTGGTAGCTATTTGCTTCTCCCACTTTTTAGTACCGGAGATTCTTAGAGCATATAGCTTTGACACAAAAATAATTTAAAACAGTAGATCATCAAATGAAAAATGAACTGTTACACATAAGTGGTTTTATGTACCTTCAACCAATGTTTTCTGTTCTGAATACTGAATCTTTATCAGTCATAAACTCACCTCTTTTAAACTTTTAAATTCTATATATGATTCATTCTTTAATGAAGACCAAAAATACATTTAGATGAGGAGGACGGGGAAGTAGGAGAGGAGGAGGGAGGGGGTTGGTTTGCTACCACCGTAAGGGCACAGTGTAGGGGTATATGGCACACCCCCTGGGTGAAGGGCTCACCTCCAACTTGGACTTTACCTAACAACGTAAACAGAGTAACCTAAACAGAGTACCCTTATATCAATCTGAAATTTAAAAAATCACAAACATTTGGAAGATGTAGGAATGAATCAGAATTCAAAAGTGAAATTAAACCCAAGCCCAAACAATGCAAAAACATTTATGATCATTTACTTCCAATGATAGGTCATTTTAGAAACATCCTTCCCTGACTTGTTTTCCTTTGCTTCTTTCTGCTGGAAGGGCAGATGATTTATATCAAACCCACTCATTCTTGAAATAACAGATGCTGTCAATTATTATCAGACATAATTGATCAGACGATAATTCCCAAATACAGATCACTTACTGCACACTGCTGTATGTACAGCTCTGAGTAAACCCCTTGAGCAAAGTCATCTGAGGCTGTTTCTCTCTCCTTTGAATATCTACATATAAAGTCGTGAGTTTGACAGTTATCAGCCTTATATATGGATAAGGGTCAGCACTGAGTAATGAGGAGGAAATGTCATTTTTCAAAGAAAAGACTTCTGCCGTAAAGCTTTCAATTGCACTGCACAATATTAGTAATAATATGGCTTTAAACAACTTTAAAAAGAGGCAGAGAGGTAATTATTTTAGATTTCCAGACGCTATTTAAATAGGCAGGCGAACAAGATTTGCAGCTCCTTAGTCTTATATTTTTGCCAAAGCAAAAAGAGCAACTAAAATAATAAGAGGTTTGAGGGACTGCCCCATGATGAAAGGTTAAGGGAATTAAATATGTACAGTCTCGAAGGAGCATCCTAAACAAACCCAAGATTGTGGTTTACCAGTATGTAAAATGACTCCATAAAGATTTTTTTTTCTTTTCAGAACAAGACAGAGAAAGAATCATTTGCACTCCTTATGAATGATAAGGTAAGAAATACCAAATGTATCCTAAAGTTAGGTAAACTCAGTTTCAGAGGCACAGGGGTAGGACAGACTCTGCACCAGTGAGACTGCCTAGACAGCCACGTTTATGCTGAAGAGACGCAGGGGAGCAAAACACCCTGGAAATTCTTTGGAGGGACCTGAGCTTTTCCAGGTCTGAGGCTGAGAAATTAAAGTATCTGAGTGGGAAAAACAAGGATTTATCTACACACCTAATATTTCAGTGAGTCTGAGGGAAAAGTCAAGATTTTTTTTTTAACTTAAAAAGAAATAAAGTGAGTGGATTTTGAAAAGTATGCACATTATTAGAAACCTTCTTAGTTTTTTGTGTATAAATCAGTAGCCTTGGGAACATGGTGAACATGATTAAATTGGAGCAGGGATAGGAGGTAAGGGTGGGAAGCTGGTGGGTGGGTGAGGCAGCCCCTGGGGAGATTTGAAGTAGAACCTGAACTGGAAGAGCGGAGAGGTTGCAAGGGATCCTGCCAGAGGAGGCTAACCCTGGCTAGCTCACCTTTCAGCACTTCCTGTCTCCCTCCACCCTTGGCGGTTCCCACTGGATTCAATTATATGCCAGGCAGGGGTTGAAGTATTTTTATATACTTTGCTTGATTTAATCCTTGCAATTCCATCATGTACCCCTATTTTATAGATGGGGACCCTCACCCTTGAGGAGTTTAGGCAACTTGCCCAAGATCACTTCACACTTGACCTCTGTGTACACACACACACACACACACACACACACCCTACATATAGAACCACATGCACAGTGAGTTGCATTCCTTCTTGATCACAACTGGATATTTTTATGGTTGTCCTCTGCACAGTTCCAAAAAATTAACTCTTGATTCCCCCGTTCACTTTTGTCCTCTCCTCTCTCCAGGTCTCCATCAGAAAGAGAAAATCTCTGAAATCTCAAATATTTATGGGTAAATCCTAAAGTCATTTCTGGTCATCTACCGAGTTTGAGGAGCAAGTCAAGGTCAATTTGATGGAGAGGCTTTTAAATTCCTAATATAACATCGCTTTCTAGGCTTTTCCTCCCTCTTCTCCTTCAAAGTTTCGTCTTTAAGCCTTTTCCAGCTATGAAGTATTTTATTTGCCGGCCTTCAGTATTTTTCTAATGCTTCCTGTGTACCAGGTGGGTGCTGGGCTTGCTGGTGACAAAGGACAAACAGATGTGGTAAGGAAAGGCCATGGCTGCTGATGGACAGGCCCACAGGGACCAGGGAGCTGGGTGGAGGGGACTTAAGAGGGGCCAACACTGCCTGGTGGGCTCGGCAAAGACTTCCTTCCTGGTAAAGGGAGTATTTGATTTGACTGTTGGAGGTGGGCAGATTTTTAGGTGATTCAGAAGGACAGAGGAATGGGCTTAGGAGGTGAGGGTGGCGTGAGCAGAAGGCACTCCAGGCAGAAGTATCCTGAGCAAACAGGATCCTGTCACTGCCAGTCTAGCTGGAGCAGAGGTCTGAGACCAGGCGAGGGGTGGGTCAGGGCGTGGCAGCTCATAAATGACATGGGTATAGGTAGATCACAGGCAGCTTATACAAGTTTGGAGAAATTTGAACTTCAGTATGAAGGTGATGGATTGTATCAAAGTCTCAAAGACATAACATAATTCATGCACATTTTAGGAAAACAAGTCTGTCAAAGACGAATTGGAGGGAGTTGAGGCTGGGGAGCTGCTGCAGTTGTCAGACAAGGAATCACAAGGATCCGAATCAATGTAGAAGAGGGGACTGAGGGGAAGAGGGGGAGGAGTCTCCCCCAGATCTGGCCAATAGTAGCAGCAGAGAAGACCAGAGCAGGTGGGTCAGGAGATGGACATCAGGATTTGGTCTCAGATGTACAGAACTAGAAATGCTAGTGGGAAACAGGAGTTGAGGGGAGAGGTTTCCTGTAGGAACAATGGGTTGCACATTCTCACAGTATCTGTGGTAGTTCAGACTCTACAGAGAATGTACCCAGTGAGAAGTGAGCAATCATGGGCCTGAGACCATCCACATTCCACAGAGGGGATGGAACCACCAAGGAGTCTGAGCAATGGGGAGAAAGAAGAGAATAGTCTTAGGAACTGAGGGAAGATGAAGCTTTGAGAGGAAAGCCATGTCCCCAACAGGCCAAAGAAAGATCATGGAAACAAGGACCGAAAAGATTGCTTTGGATTTGTGTAGAGGGAGAGCCACGTAACTTTTGCCAGAGAGATTCTGAGAAGTAGTAGCCGCAGAAATGGGGCTAACAGGATGCCGGGAAGGAGAGGTCTAGCTTGCTGGAGGTGGCAGGGAACAGGCGAGGGAGGCAGGAGGAGGGAAAGACCAATGTTGAGAGGTGAGATTATGTTTGTTTGTGGTGCCTGCACTTGTGTGTGTAAAATGGAAGAGATTGGGAAAATGAACATTTGAAATGTATATTTTTCTTAACCTCAAACTCATGGGCTCCGGCCTCACGCTGCTCCTTTTCTTGTTTTCTCTACTGCACCATCAATCTCCCAGTACCCAGGCAGAGATCCATGAATTTATCCTTGACTCCAACCCATCCATTGCCAATTCCTCTTTTTGGTTTCTTTGCTTGTTTATCCCTCTTGCTATTCTCACTGCCAGCATTCTGGTTCAAGTTCTCATAAACTTTCAGCAGATTTCTTGCAAAGGTCTCCTAAAAAGAGGTTCCCACTAATCTGTGCAGTACTTCCAGAAGAATCTCCACACCATAGTTCCGCTGACCACGTTCCCCTGTGCATCCAGAATCCACTGTGAGCTCTTTAGTACAGCCCTGCCAGATCAAGGGCCACCCTCCCTGTCCTTATCTTGGAGGGGCTCAGAGGCCTGTGCCTCAGGTGAATTTCCCTCTCATGGAAGGAGCACATGCTTCAGCATGGTCTCCACATCTCTGGCATGACTCTGAGCTATAACTCACTTTGTGCTGTAGCTATTTGGATTTATTGGGGGGTGGGGTGGATCAGAGGGAGTGGTAGCACCACCCCTTCCTTGGCTTCAGATTTCTGTGTGGCACAGATTCCTCAGCATTAAACTCTTGACCTCTTTTTATGTTCTCATTCATCCTTCACCACAAAAGACTGAATTACCTGGTTAGTAGCTTTGGAAGCATAAAACAGCTGTAGAAGGTAGAATCATGTTGTAAAATGAACCCCCCCACCCCAAAATTTCTCACTCCAATCCCTGGGATTGTGGATGTGATGAGATATTATGCTGTGGTTAGGTCACATGGAAAAAGGGGGATTTTTTTTTTTTTACATGTAATTAAGGTTACTAATCAGTTGATTTTGAGTCAACCACTGGGAAGATTAACCTGATCGGCCTCATGTAATCTCAAGAGACCATTAATAATGGAGCATTTTCTCAGGTTAGGGCAGAAGTGAAGTCAGCATTGCTGGCTGATAGATGGAGCAGGCACTTGTTAGAATGAGAGAGATTAGAATTTTAGATGCTGAGGGCAATCTCTGGCAGATAGCCAGCAAGGAAAGGGGACCACCATCCTATAGCCACATGGAACTACATTCTGCCGACCACCTGGGTGAGCTTGGAAGTAGGTTTCTCCCTAAAACCTCCAAGTAACAGCTGAGCTTGACTGACC